TGAGATGGGGCAGCAGGAGAAGAAGGGCTTGCATTGGGGGCAGAAGCAGCATTGGGGGCAGAAGCAGCAGATGTTGAATCTTGGACCCTGCAAAGGATAAAAGGTATTAAACTGCTGGTACTGGGGAAAGGGAAGGGGAGTGCTGTGTGGGGACACAGGGTGTGCACCCCACAGTGAGCAGGCCCCAGCACAGCAGCCAGCCCAGCTTGCACCCCGTGTCTGCCTGCACTGCTGCACAGCTGTGCTCCCAGATGCCTTCCATCTGCTGGGATCTGCCTCCCTCCTGAAGCACTGCAGCCCCTGACATGTCCTGGCCCACGCACAGCTCCTGGATGGGTCTTACCCTGAGTTGTCTCCAGCTCCTCCTTGAATCCCACTGAACTATTTACTGCGGCCATATCCTTGAGCAAGGAGCGTGCTCCAAACAGCAAAATCCTTCTGCTGCTCCCACAGAAACCACAGGAGGTTACAGCAGGGCTAGTGCATGGGGTAAACAACAATGTTCACTTCTGAATATTCCTAGCAGTGCTTCTGGGGCAAAAAGAAGCATCAGCATTACTGTACAAAGAGGGAAACTGAAGCACGGGGCAGCCAGCACCTGTCTCACAAAGCCATGGAATGTTTCTGGCCAGCTTGGCTCCAAATTCTCAGCTCTGCCACTGGCTGCACCTTGATGCAAAGCTCCTGCTCCAACACAATTGTCTGGAGCTTCTTTAAACCCACCCACACAGACACTGTGCTGTAACCACCATGCAGCAAGTGCAGGACATCAGCTTTGCTGAACGCACCAACCCAGGTTAGTACCTCCTTACCACAGTTATCCTCAAGAGTGTGTTACAGGAATTTGGAAGAGAACATTTAAAGATTTTCTGAAGCCCCTGCAGTGACAACAGTGAGCCCTGGACTAGTGTTGAAGAGCTTTCATTAAATTAGACCACAAAATTCACTTTACCCACCTCAATAATGCTGTTATGCCTCTGACAATAATACCAATGATTTCCTGATTTTTTTTTCCCCCAAACCAATAATTATTCCTTTTCTCTATCTCCCTTTCTTTTTCACTCTTCTAGAACTTGAAAAATCAATGCTGAAGGTCCCTGTCCACTGTCCAGACAGACCTGACTGCTGCTGAAAACCAGTGGCCACTGAGAGAGGCAAAGAGTGGGGAAACAAAGCAAATGGGAAGCTGAATAAGAAAGGAAGAAGGAAGCCAGAGAAAGGGCACTTGGTTTCTCTGTAATGTCTTCAGTAAGGACTTTTCTAGAACTATTAGCAGGAGAAAAATGAGCAGCCCAGGGCAGCTCTGATTCCCTCTTTGAAATGATTTACCAATACCACATTTATAGTGGAAACAGCAGAAACAGCACCGGGCTCTCAGGCTACCTGGAGAGGCAGAATCCAAGGAGAGGCTGCAGAATCTGGCAGCAAACTTCCTTGTGTTTGTGAAAAAAACAAGTGGAATAAAAAAAAAAAGAGGGAAAAAACCCGTCTTGATTAATGCAGCTCCCCCAGGGGATAGAAGATCTGCACAGGGACACAGCCCTGGGAGCTGGGGCTCACTGTGGCCAGAGCCTGAGGCATGGCTCTGAAGGTCCTTCAAGATCAATGAAATGTGGCTGCAACTAAAGCACAGCAGCTGTTCCCAAACCCTTCCATGCCCACCACCCCTCTGGAAAGTGCTGGGAAGAGCTAAACCTGCAGGAGCCTGAGGTCAGCCCCGTGTCCTGCTCTCAGTGTGAGGTCTGTGGTGCCCCTGAGCCACATCCTGAGCACAGGGAATGCACCCACATGAGTGAACCCCACAGTGCCCTGTGCCTGCCCCAGCCTGGGCAGCTGTGCCTGCAGGGCATGTGTGCCCCTGTGGCACCTCTCAGAGCCTGAGGAGGTGACAGAAAACCCAGGTACTAACACAAATTCACTGCGAAAGTAATTCCTTTTATCAGCAACTTTTCTCAGAACTCTTGCAGGTTTGCCAGAACCAGCATCCATTTCTGATGGGTTCTTCCAACACAGACACACACATTTAATGTTAAAGGACCAGCCCCTCCAGGTACCTGCCGTACACCATCACAGCTGTGCCATCCATGGACAGGTTAGTGACAAACCCCACTGCTGGGGCAGGGAAAAATCATCACAATCAGTAATTCCCACCCCCATTTGAGCCCAGCCTCCCCAAGACCAAGCTCTTACTTCTGCGGAGTCTTAATGACCAAGTGAACAGTGAGCCCATCTTTGATCCCATGTTGATTCAACGTGTCTCCATCCTTCAGGATCTTCCCAGCAAAGATCAGAACCAGCTGATCCTGTTTGGCTTTAAACCGTCTAGAAATCTCTTCTTTGAACTGAAAAACAAACAGCATTTTTCAGGCAAAGGATTGGTACCAGGAACACAAAGCTCCAGGGCTCACATGTAGTCTAGGAAAAACCCTCAGAGCCCATGAAGGTACCACACATTCACCAGCTGTTGATGATGTCTGAGGTGTTAATGAAAACCAAACCAAAGCAAAGACAAGCTCTGAAATCACAAATTATGGAGAAAATCTCAGAAAAAACAGAGCCATTCCCTCAGAAGAGGCTGAAGGCTTCCAAAGCCAGACCAATTTGCTTCAGGCCTAACCCAAACACATCTTTTATGCTGAATGACTGAACTGGTTTCATGTGCTCATCTGATTTTTTTTTTTCCTAAGGAAAGCCAAACTCTGATTTAATACAGGACAGAGCTCTATGGAAAAGGCAATAATCCTTTATCAGCCAATGGAAATAAACTAGGTCTTCTCCAATTCCTATTTCTGCAACTGAATTCCCTGTGAGCATGCCACAGAGCATGGACACCTCATCCTTACTGTGTGCTGGGATTTACACCTGCAAACAAGACTCTCACTGCTGGCCCTGCCAGGGCATCCCCAGATGGATTGGGAGGAAATAAAGCCTTGCACTTGGAAAACACAAACTAAGGGGAATTCAGAGGGGAAGGCCAGGATGGAGAGTGAAACACACGCTGGTTACAGAGGGGAAGGGAATTTGATGAAAACACAAAACTAAAGGGAATTCAGAGGGGAAGGCCAGGATGGAGAGTGGAACACATGCTGGTTTCAGAGCTCTCAGCCTTCACAACTCTAAAATCAAGGCTGGGCACAGCACAGCCCTGGCCCCAGATCACCCTGTCTGTTCTCCCCCCACATACCCTGCCTGTTCTCTCCGCACATACCCTGTCTGTTCTCTCCCCACATACCCTGTCTGTCCTCTCCCCACATACCCTGTCTGTCCTCTCCCCACATCCCCTGCCTGTTCTCTCCCCACATCTCCTGCCTGTTCTCTCCCCACATCTCCTGTCTGTCCTCTCCCCACACACCCTGTCTGTCCTCTCCCCACACACCCTGTCTGTTCTCTCCCCACCCCACACCTCCCTTACCAAGGGATTCTTTCCCGAGGGAAAGGATCAGGAGGGCCACACGTGCCCAGCTCCTGCCCACAGCATGAACTGCTGCCCAGAGCTCCCTGCCAGGCCCTTCACACGCCGACCTCGTGCCCTACGCCCGAGCGAAGCGCCAGCCAGCCCAACGCAGAGCCCATGACACCTTGTCCCAGTGGGCATCGCCGCTTCCTCAACGCCAGGAGCGGCCCTAGAGCCCGCCCCTGCCAATGGCAGCCTTTGCTAAGCGCAGTTCTCGGCATTCCCGGCCCTCTCCCGCTCCCTAGCAGGTGCACAACACCCCCCAGCCCACCCGATGTTTCCTTTCCTCCACCTCATTCAACGCTGGCCCCAAACATCTCCCCGGCTCCTCGCCTGGAGAATTTCCCTCCAGAGAAGCGCAGATGCACGCCAGGACCCCCAGATATCCCCCGGGGCAGCCCCCCACGCTCTGCCCACAACCCCAGCACCTTTCCCACCCCTCCGCCCAGGGAACGCTCTCCCCCGCAGCGCAGCGCAGCCCAGCCCAGCCCAGCCCACGGGCCGAGCCCCCAGACCCCACCCGGTCCTTCCCACTGCCACCGCCCCCAAAGCCGCTCTCCGAGCCCCTCACTAATTGTGGTTCCCACACCTACGACCCCTCCCACAGGTGAGCCCCCCAAACCACCTCCAGACCCCGCCAAAGGCCTCCAGCACCTGCCCTCCTTCAGATCTCCCCGCTCCCTCCCACCCTGGCTCCAGCAAGGCCCAAAGGCCGGGGCTGCCCCGAAAAGCCCCCGAACGCAGCCCCAGCCCTGATCCGGCTCTCCAAGAGGCCTCCCGGACCCTCTGACCGCCTCCCAGCCCACAGCACCCTTCCCCCGCTCCTCAGGCACGCCCGAAATTCCTCCCCGGCCCCAAAAACTCAGGTTCCTTCCCAAAATCCCTTCACGGCACCCCCGGATCCCTCAGCCCCCGCGGAGCAGCCGCCCCCGCCCCTCAGCACCCGCGGCAGCGCCCCCCAGGCCTCTCCGCCTCCCCGGCCTGCCGCCGCCCCCACCTCGCGCACGGAGGCGCCATCCGCGATAACGATCTCCTCCTTGTCCTTGGGGGTCTTCACGGTTACGCGGATGAGCGCCCCGCCGGGCCCCGCCTGGCCTTCCCCGCCAGACCCGGGGCCGCCGCCGCCGCCGCCGCCACTCGGCTCCGCCATCTTCGCCGCCCGCCGCCAGCCCGGGCCACCGCCACCACAGAGAGCCGGGAGCGGCGCCACAGCACCGCCTGGGGCCGGGACAGCGCCTCCCGGCGGCGCGGAGGAACAGCGGCAGCGCGGGGCGCGGAGGCGGAACGGGAGCGGAAAGAGGCGGCCGGAGGCTGGGGAGGGGGTGCTGCCCGCCGGTGTCCCCACCGACCTCCCCTTTCACCGACCCCATCCCCGCTTCCCGCGGTCACCGAGGCCCCGCGCCTGCCCCGCGCTCCCTTCTGCTGCCGAGGCCTCTCTGGAGTCCCGGTGCCCACGGGGACAGCGGCGGGGCCGGGCGGGACTACAGCCCCCAGAATGCTGCGGGCCCGGCGCGGCCCCGTGACGGCGCGGCCCGGCGCGGCCGCACCCCCGCCCCGCGGTGCCGGCGGCGGCGGCCATGCTGCGGCCCAAGGCCCTGACGCAGGTGCTCAGCCAGGCCAACACCGGCGGCGTCCAGAGCACGCTGTGAGTGCGGGGGGCCGGGCGGGGGGCGCCTTTCCCCGAGCGGGCACCGCGGGCACCGGGCGCTCCGTGATGCGGGGTGACGCCCCTGAGGGGAGATGCTTTCCCTGCCCGGGAATGGTTCCCTCGTACCGACCCCGGCGCATACTGCCGCTGTCCGTGCCCCAGGGGATGCTGCTCCTGCCCGGAGATGCTGCCTGCCATTCCCCTGTCCCTGCCCCAGACCCCGTCCGTGCTCCTGCCCGTGTCCCTGAACCTGCCTCGGCCGTGCTGCCCCTGTCCCTGCACCGGGGGATGCTGCCTGCTCCTGCCCTGGGAATGCTGTCCGTGCCCAAGGATGCTGCCTGCTTTTCCCCAGCCCCTGCCCCTGCCCTTGCCTGATGATGCTCCTTTCCCTTGCCCCTGCCCGGGGATGCTCCTGCCCCTGTCCCTGCACTGGGGGATGCTCCTGCCCCTGCCCTGGGAATGCTGCCCCTGCCCAAGGATGCTGCCTACTTTTCCCCTGCCCAGGGATGCTCCTTGCCCTTGCTCCTGCCCCTGCCCAGGGATGCTCCTTGCCTTTGCTCCTGCCCCTGCCCAGGGATGCTCCTTTCCCTTGCTCCTGCCCAGGCATACTCCATTCCCTTGCTCCTGTTCCTGCCTGGGGTTGCTCCTGGCCCTTGCTCCTTTCCCTTGCTCCTGCCCCTGCCCAGGGATGTTCCTTGCCCTTGTCCCTGTCCCTGCCCAGCATTGCTCCTTGCCCTTGCTCCTGCCTAGGGATGCTCGCTGTGCCTGCCTGGGGAAGGCAAGAGGCCCTTCCAGGAGCAAGAATGAGACTGAGACCACGCACCCTGCATGGAGCTGGGCTGCAGATGGTGCTGGCACTGTGCACAGTGTGTGGGGCTCCCGGTGCCTGGTGCACAGTGCAAGGGCCACGCACAGAGCTGGGGCTGTGCACAGTGTTTGTCCCCTGTGGCAGGTCCTGCTGCTTCACCAGACAGATCCCGCACTGCCCTGCTGGGGCCTGGGGACACTGCAGAACTTTCTAGCTTTGAAGCCCCCAGACCCCTGCAGAGTGGGAGTGTGTTGGGAGCAGTGCTTGGGACTGGTGGGGAGGGTTTGTTCTTCCCCTGGTGCTGAAAGGGTTCTGGTGTTAGAGGCATCAGTTTGCCCTGCTGTGTCCTTGCCAGGCTGCTGAACAACGAGGGCTCCTTGCTTGCCTACTCTGGCTATGGGGACACTGATGCCAGGGTCACTGCAGCCATCGCCAGCAACATCTGGGTGGCCTACGACAAAAACGGGCACCAGGCCTTCAATGAGGACAACCTGAAATTCATCCTCATGGACTGCATGGTATGTGGGGCTGGAGCCCGCCCTGCCCTCCCTGGGGCCGTGCCCGTGGTGCCAGGGCCCTGCTGGGGCTCCAGGCCGAGCTGGGGTGCCATGGGTGCTGTTTTTCTCTGGGCAGGAGGGGCGAGTGGCCATCACACGGGTGGCAAACCTGCTGCTCTGCATGTACGCCAAGGAGACGGTCGGGTTTGGGATGCTGAAAGCCAAGGTAAGGGCTGGGGAGGCTGCAGGGCTGCATCCCTGCTTAGATGTGGGAAAGAGCTGTTGAAGTGCATTGGGATGGAAGGGCTGGAGGAAGCTGGGACACTCTTTGCACCTTGCAGAAACTCCTCTGTCTCCCTCCCCACCCTGTGACTCCTTTTTAAGGTTCTAAACTGAAATATAAATTACAATAAACAAGCGAGCAGTGGGCACACGTGTTGCAAAACCCACCTGAGCGTGTCTCATGCCATTCTCTGCAGGCACAGGCACTGGTGCAGTACCTGGAGGAGCCACTCACACAGGTGGCTGCATCGTGAGAGGCAGTGGAGAGCTCTGACAGCATCACCATCACCACCGTGGGTTGGGCACGAGTGGCCCCGTGGGCATCACAGAGCTCCAGTGTGGTCTGAAAAATAATGTGGCAGGAATCCAGAATCTGGGGTGAATAAAGTGTGTTTGATGCTTGTGTCCATTGTGTCTGTTGTTGGGGGAGCTGAGGGGTAACACAGCCAGACTGGGCTGTCTTGGTTTCAAAGGACAGGTTTGTCTAAGGAATGCAGGAGCTTCTTCTGAAAAGGAAAATGTAACCCACTCCCCCCCTTTTTTTTCCAAATTGCTATAAATTTTAAATTAAGGGGCACTTAGGCAAAAAATATGGGAGCAGGGAATAACAGTTCCCTTTAATAGGGAAGAAAATAAAAAGTAAACAGTGCAGTAAACTAAAACAACACTGACCGAGGCAGAACACCACCTGACACCCTGTGGGTCAGGGTGTTGGCAGCAGTCCCATTGGAATTGTGGCTGCAGCCCTCCTGAAGTGCCAGGTGTGGTTCTGTTGGAGCAGGGATCCTGTAGAGAAGGTGTAGGCTTCCTCTAAAGATCCAGGGGAAGAGAGCAGCTATTCCTCTGGGGAAATCCAGCGGAGAAAAGCCCTGCTGGTGTTCCAGAATCTCCACTTTATATCTGGGTAGAATGCTTGGCTTTCCCCTCTGGGCTCACATCTCACACTGGGATGCTGTAGTTCTTATCAGTCATGCAGTGATATTCAATAGCCTGTTATCAGCAGATGTCTCCCCAGTTGTGGAAGAGATAAGGAACACTGCCCACTTAACAGAAGACAACTGCCACACAGATGGGAAGTGGAATACAATTTGCTTGACAATCCAGGACACTGGGCAGTGTTTGGGAGGTGCCCATCATTGCCCTGGGGAAAGACAAGAGGTTGCAAGGGGCTGTTGTCAAAGGAGAGGGGCTCCAACAGAGCCGAGCCCCGGCACAGCCCTGCTGGTCACCCTGGGATAGCTGAGGGTGCTGGGGGCTCCTTCCCATCCCGATTTCCCTGCCTTTCACACGATGGCAGCAGAGGCGAGGGAACATTCGGAGCGGCGGGAGCCGGGCTGGGCGGGGGTTCTGCTCCTGGCACAGCTGCCCTCGCTGCCATCCCACCCCTACCCCACAGTGCCCCGCTGTGCCTTTGCTGCCATCGCTGCCCCCGATGCCATCGCCGTCCCCTCGCCGTGATGCCCCCCGTGTCCTGCCCTCGCACCCTCCCTGTCACTACGGGACACGAAATGACACGACGCGCACACACTGCTGTTCTCAAGGCCAAAAAGGGACGTTTATTTTCTGACTCCAACATTTACAGATTTCCAAAAGCGACAGTGGATTGGAGGGTGACAGTGCCACCTCTCCAACGACACCGGGCAATGCAACAGTCCGTCGAATTTCTCCTCCTCCATAAAAGAATGCAAAACAATGAGTTACTCACAGAAAGTGAGAAAGTTCGTTACAAGAATGTAAACATCAGAAGGCTTGGAAAATCTTAAAAAATCAGGGCGACACTCTCCCTGCCGCGCTGCCCGTGATGCCCTCTGTGTCCTGTGCGGGCTGCCCGTGCTGTCGGTGCTGCCCTCGTACCCTCCGTACCCACGGTGCCCGTGCTGTCGGTGCTGCCCGTGATGCCCTCCGTGCCCATGGTGTTGGTGCTGCCCTCGTACTCTCCATGCCCACACTGCCCGTGCTGTCGATGCTGCCCTCCATGCCCATGCTGCCCGTTCTGTTGGTGCGGCCCTCGCTGCCCGGGCTGTCGGTGCTGCCCTCACACCCTCCGTGCCCTCGCTGCCCCAGCCTGCCCGCTCTGCCCTCGCACCCTCCGTGCCCACGCTGTCCGTGCTGCCGGTGCTGCCCTGGCCGCCCCAGCCTGCCCGCACTCGGATCGGTCCCTGGCTCCTCCTCCCGCCGCCCCGTGACGGTCCCAGGGGTGACATTACCTGCCCAACCTGCGCTGCGACACCCGGTCCCACCCCTTGAGTCAAGCGGCCGCGCTGTCGCCAGCTCGGCCTCTCCCTGCCCGCTGTCCCGGACCCTCCGCTGCCCCGGACCCCCCTCTCGCTCCCGGCACAGAGGAACCTCCGGTGGCTCCGTGCGCTCCCTCGGTGCCTCCGCCCCGCCGGGTGCTCGGGGCTCGGCAGAGGGAAGGAGGAAAGGCACAGGCAGGGCGGCCCTGCAGGGCGGGCGGCGGCCGGGGCGACATGGGCAGCGCCGAGGAGGATTATAACTTTGTCTTCAAGGGTGAGTCCTGCGCTCCATGGGATCCTCCCTTCCTCAGAAGGAGGGGAGCAGGAATCCAGGGGTTGCGGGGAGGGAACGAGGGTGCTCTTAACCCAGGGTGGCTGTGCCCTGAGCTGGCACCGTGTTGATGGTTCCCTGCAGCTGTGGTGGGCACCGGGAGCTACGGAGGTTGAGGGCACTGGGGGGCAGGCAGTGAGGGCAGCCAGGGCTGGTGAGCAGCAGAAAGGTCCACAGAGACCCAGGGAGATCTGCACTCACCCCAAGGCTGAAGGTGTGCAGTGCCAGGCAAATTGCTGTTATGGGATAGGGGGGGTGTGAAAGCTGGGGCTGAGTGTATGAGACAAATGCCATGAGAGCCTGTAAGCCCTGAGACAAGTGGGCATTGAAAAGTCATTTTCTGCAGCGACCTGGGCAGTGGCACATGCACAGGACATGGGGGTCAAAGCTGAGCTGGAGTAATGTGGGCACAGCCTCACACCTCCCATGCTGAGCTCCTTGGGCCCACCTGGTCACTGCCAGGTGCTGTTGGCTGGACTCTGCTTGGGCTCAGTGCCCCCTTTGGGCGAGTGGGGACAGACAGGCTCTGGTGTGCCACCTGTCCTGGGTGCCCACTGCAGCAGGGGGACCCAGGGCTCACCAACATCCTTGCCCTGCTCCTGCTGCCCAGAGGCCAGCAGCCATGACCCCTCTGACCAGCACTAGGGAGCACAGCTGGCCTCCCATGGGGACCCTGTTTGCTGAAGGAGGGACCCCATCAGGGGTTAAACCCAAACAGCTGCCCAGGCTGGGGCACCCGACAAAGCGAGCAATGCCCATGCAACCAGTGCTGGTAGCTGAGGCAGCACAGTGAGATTTCTTTTCTTTTCTTTCTTTTCTTTTCTTTTCTTTTCTTTTCTTTTCCTTTCCTCCTTTCTTCCTTCCTTTCCTCCTTTCCTTCTTTCTTTCTTTCCTCCCTTCTTTCTTTCTTTCCTTCCTTCCTCCTTTCTTTCTTTCCTTCCTCCTTTCTTTCTTTCCTCCCTCCTTTCTTTCCTTCTCCTTTCCTTTTCCCTTTCCTTTTCCCTTTCCTTCCCCCTTCCCTTTCTCTCTTTCTTCCTTCCTTTCCTCCTTTCTTCCTTTCTTTCTTTCCTCCTTTCTTTCTTTCTTTCCTCCCTCTTTTCTTTCCTTTCTTCCTCCTTTCTTTCTTTCCTTCCTCCTTTTCCTTTTCCTTGCCCTTTTCCTTTCCCTTTTCCTTCCCCCCACAGTTGTGCTGATTGGTGAGTCAGGGGTGGGCAAGACAAACCTGCTGTCTCGTTTCACCCGCAACGAGTTCAACCACGACAGCCGCACCACCATCGGCGTGGAGTTCTCCACGCGCACCATCCTGGTGGGAGACGCCGCGGTCAAGGCTCAGATCTGGGACACGGCCGGGCTGGAGCGCTACCGAGCCATCACCTCCGCGTAAGGACCTCCGAGCCGGCCCTGCTGGGGCTTGGCTGCTGCCCCAGGGGTGACAATGGGTGCTGGGGGAGGATCTGGAGCAGGGAGTGATGGTGGGGGTCTCTCACAGGTATTACCGGGGGGCTGTGGGTGCTCTGGTGGTGTTTGATATCACCAAGCACCAGACGTACGACGTGGTGGACCGCTGGCTGAAGGAGCTCTACGACCACGCTGAGGCCAGCATCGTTGTCATGCTGGTGGGGAACAAGACCGACCTCGCACAGGCTCGAGAGGTGCCCATGGAGGAGGCCAAAATGTTTGCAGGTACAGGCTGGAACTCCCCCACAGGGCTGGGGGCTTGAGAACCTCCCCAACAGTGTGGACCTGCACCTCTAAAGGTGCTCCAGATTGGAGCCATGGGGCTGAACACCTCTAAAGGTGCTCCAGATTGGAGCCATGGCACCTGAACACCTCTAAAGGTGCTCCAGATTGGAGCCATGGCACCTGAACACTTCTAAAGGTGCTCCAGATTGGAGCCATGGCACCTGAACACGTCTAAAGGTGCTCCAGATTGGAGCCACGGGGCTGAACACCTCTAAAGGTGCTCCAGGTTGGAGCCATGGAGCTGAACACCTCTAAAGGTGCTCCAGATTGGAGCCATGGCACCTGAACACTTCTAAAGGTGCTCCAGATTGGAGCCATGGGGCTGAACACCTCTAAAGGTGCTCCAGGTTGGAGCCATGGCACCTGAACACCTCTAAAGGTGCTCCAGGTTGGAGCCATGGCACCTGAACACCTCTAAAGGTGCTCCAGGTTGGAGCCATGGAGCTGAACACCTCTAAAGGTGCTCCAGGTTGGAGCCATGGCACCTGAACACCTCTAAAGGTGCTCCAGGTTGGAGCCATGGCACCTGAACACCTCTAAAGGTGCTCCAGGTTGGAGCCATGGGGTCAGCATCATCTCAGGGGTCTCCTCTCCTTGCAGACAACAACGGGCTGCTGTTTGTTGAGACCTCGGCGCTGGACTCCACCAATGTTGAGGAAGCATTCGAGACCATCCTGAAGGGTACAGGCACTGGTGCTGTGCTGCAGCAGGTCCCAGGGATGCAGGGCTGGGCAGATGATGTGCAGCACTTCTCTCCCTGCTCCACTTGAGCTATTTGGGGCTATTTTCATGAGGTCTTTTGGCGTTGCCTCTCTGTCTGCTTTGGTTTTCAGCCTTTGCTGCTGGGCGTTTCACTCCCCACACCCGAAACTTTGTTCTCACGGCCCCTGGGCATCCCTGAAGCCCCAGGAGCTGCTTCTCCCCCATAATCTCCAGTCTCCTTCCTGTTGTCCTGGGCTCATGACTTGGTGTCTCCAGCATCCTGCCAAACCGGCTGGGGGGACCTGGGGGGCCAGGGATGGAGTGCAAGAGCAGCAGCTCTCCAGGAATGCAGCATCCAGGCAGTGAGGTGTGCCAAGCCATGCAGTGCTATTCCGTGCCATGCTGTGCTATTCCATGCCATGCTGAGCCATGCAGTGCTGTTCCATGCCATGCTGAGCCATGCAGTGCTGTTCCATGCCATGCTGTGCTGAGCCATGCAGTGCTGTTCCATGCCATGCTGAGCCATGCAGTGCTGTTCCATGCCATGCTGTGCTGAGCCATGCAGTGCTGTTCCATGCCATGCTGAGCCGTGCCAAGCCATGCAGTGCTATTCCATGCCATGCAGTGCTATTCCATGCCATGCTGGGCCATGCAGTGCTGTTCCATGCCATGCCATGCTGAGCCAGCCTGGCCCAGTGAGCTGCCAGCCCCAGCACAGGGTGAAGCACTAATCCCAGGTTGGGCAAGAGGAAATGGCCCAAGCACAGGGTGTTCCCCAGGCGCTGCAGGGATGCAGGCCCTGTCCCTTGTTGTTTTTATCTTATTGCAAAAGTTCCATACATCCTTGGTGATTTCTCATGGCCAGCTCCTCACAGCACTGCCAACAAACTCCAGCTCTCTTCTCAACCATCTAACCCACTCCTTTATAGCACTCATCCTTATTGTGGCCTATTAAGAGCAGGCCTGTTCCTAACCTTTGGTAATTAGCACAGCTGCAACTCCTCAGTTGAGGGTGAGATTGCCTTCCGCACTATTTCTTACATTCTATCCCTCACACCTTGTCACCCCTGTGCTGTGCAGAGGTGAAGGGGAGCCACCAGCACACCCAGCAGTGGGGGCTGCAGGCTTGAAGCTGCCCCTGCATCCCCAGGGGGCTTTGCCTGACACAAAGACCCCTCCCCAGCACTTCTTCTTTTGCAGAAATCTTCCACAAAGTGCAGAAGCAGAAGCAGAGGAGCAGCCAAAGCAACACGGTGTCACTTGCCAGTGAGAGCCCTGCGAGCACAGCCCCAGCACAGGCGGAGAGGCGCCCGTGCTGCGTGGCCCTCTGAGCACCCCAGCACGTCCCCAGGGACCCCCACAAGCCCGGGACACACCAGCCCAGCTGGCGTCACCCTGCCTGCAGTGCCACCCCTGTCCTGGTGCAGTGGGGTCCAGCAGCCTGGACAGGGAGGGGTTAAATTGTGCCATAAACAGTGAGAAGCAGCAGTTGCAGGAGCTCTGTTGCATTTTTGCTGGGCCCTGATTAGCATCACCATTGTCACCAATTGTTTCAGCCCTTCTGGACCTGCAGGGCAAAATGACCGGGACACCCTCTGGGGAAGGAGCCAGGAGGTTCTGGAGGATCATGCCAGCAACAGGAGCCTCTCTGATTACCTGTGGCTCCTGTAGGGCCACCCTGTGCCCTGCACTGAGATGAGGCTGCCCTGCAGGTGTCTGTCCCACCAGGGACTGCTCTGGGGTGTGAAGTGGCAGCACTCAGCCCTTGGCTGTCCCAGCAGGGCCCGGTGCCATGGGGCAGGGAGCAGCTCCGTGTCCAGCAGGGGCGTGACACAATCATTAAAGGACTTGTGAAATGCAGGTTTACTGAGCTGGAATTCCTGCGTGTTTGTGCTCCACGCCCTGGGGCTCCCCACCTTCATAATGTGCTGAAGATCGTGGCCTCCAAAGCTGCCCGGCTGGATGCCACGGCTCCCCTGTGCCACCTCCTACCCCCATGTCATGGCCCCCTGTGCCCATTCCCACCCTGAAGCTGGGTTCATCCTGTGCCCCCTCCCACCCTAAAGCTGTGCCCCCTGTGCCCCCTCCCACCCTAAAGGTATGCCCCTTGTGTCCCCTCCCACCCTGAAGCTGGGCTCATCCTGTGCCCCCTCCCACCCTAAAGCCGTGCCCCCTGTGCCCACTCCCACCCTGAAACTGGGCTCATCCTATACCCCCTCCCATCCTAAAGCTGGGCTCATCCTGTGCCCCCTCCCACCCTAAAGCCGTGCCCCCCGTGCCCCCTCCCACCCTGAAGCCGTGCCCCCCGTGCCCCCTCCCCACGCAGCCTTTCCCAGTTTAGCTCCCCTGTTTGATCTCTATCAGTTCAGACAATGACGCAGCCTCTGCCGGCTATCTGAAACCCCTGGGAATAATTCTAAAAAACAGCCCCAGGGATAATTCCTGCTGGATTCTCGTGTTTTCTCTGGATTTCCCTTCGCACCAGCCCCGCTCCGTGTCACACCCGTGGCTCTGTGCGGGGCGCGCTGTCCCCATCAGGAGCGCACACAGGCGCTGCCGTGTCCCTGCCCCCTCACCTGGCCCAGGTGAGCACACCTGAGTGTGACGGGCAGCCCTGGCCGCCAATGGGTGCGGAGCAGGAAAGGCTGTGGCCACCAATGGGTGCCTGGGGACAGCCCCGGGCCGGGCTGGGAAGGGCCGGAAATCCCAGTTGGCCCAGTGGGAGCGGGGCTGTGGAGCTGGGAGAGATGCGGGGCAAGGACGATGAGTACGATTATCTCTTCAAAGGTGGGTCTGATGCCCGTGCCCGCTGTGCCCGTGCCAGGTCTGAGCCCGCTGCGGGCACCCCTGGTGTGGGACTGGAGCTGGGGCTTGGACTGGGATAGAACACTGAGCCCCCAGTTCATGGGATGGGGAACTGGGGCTTGGACTGGGATAGAGCACTCAGCTCCCAGTTCATGGTGGGGGCTTGGACTGGGATGGATAGAACACTGAGCCCCCAGTTCATGGGATGGGGAACTGGGGCTTGGACTGGGGTAGAGCAGTCAGCTCCCAGTTCATGGTGGGGGTTTGGACTGGGCTAGAGCACTCAGCTCCCAGTTTATGGGATGGGGGGCTTGTACTGGGATAGAGCACTCAGCTCCCAGTTCATAGGATGGGGGGCTTATACGGGGATAGAACACTCAATTCCCAGTCCAGGGGATGGGAGCCTGGGCTTGACTAGGACAGAATACTCAGCTCCCAGTTCATGGGATGGGAACTGGGGCTTGTACTGGGATAGGACACTCAATTCCCAGTTCACAGAGGGGGGCTTGGACTGGGATAGAACATTCAATTCCCAGTCCAGGAGATCGGGAGCTGGGGCTTGGACTGGGATAGAGCACTCAATTCCCAGTTAATGGGACAGAGAGCTGGGGCTTGTGCTGGGATAGAACAGTCAGCTCCCAGTTCATGGTAGGGGCTTGGACTGGGATAGAACACTCAATTCCCAGTTCACAGGACAGGAGTGGGGGGCTTGCTGTGGTGTCTCACTGTGCTGTGCAGGAGGGTGGGTGCTGCTGAGGCTGAGGTGGTTGGAAGGTTTGCTAGAGCTGCTTCTGTGGTTTGTGGTCCTGATGCTCATCACAGCTGCTCTTGGCTCCTGAGGAGGGGGCTGCAGCCCCAGCCCGAGTGTGCAGTGCCCTGGAGGGTGGCTGTGGCCAGGACAGGGTGGCTGTGGAAGGGTGGCCAGGGCAGAGTGGCTGTGACTGTGACCAGGGCAGGGTGGCCGTGACCAGGACAGGGTGACTGTGACCATGGCAGGATGGCAGGGTGGCTGTGACTGTGGCTGTGACCATGGCAGGGTGGCTGTGACAGTGGCAGGGTGGCTGTGACCGTGGTTGTGACTGTGGCCAGGACAGGGTGGCTGTGACCATGGCAGGATGGCAGGGTGGCTGTGACTGTGACCAGGGCAGGGTGGCTGTGACCATGGCAGGGTGGCTGTGACTGTGGCCAGGACAGGGTGGCTGTGACCATGGCAGGATGGCAGGGTGGCTGTGACTGTGACCAGGGCAGGGTGGCTGTGACCATGGCAGGGTGGCTGTGACTGTGACCAGGACAGGGTGGCTGTGACCATGGCAGGGTGGCTGTGACTGTGGCTGTGACCATGGCAGGGTGCTGGGGAGGGCTGCTCCGTGGGACTGTGTGGGTGCTGTGTCAGCCCCTGAGCACCCATGGGTGCTCTGCTCTGTGGCGCCGGGTGAAGGGAGCCCAGCTGAGAACTGAGTGATCTCCCCCAGGAGAGAAAGCCCTGCTGCTCCCCAGCATCCAGGGACCCTTCCTGGTGCTGGTCATGCTCTGACCTCTCTGCTGTGCCCAGGGAGGGTGGGGGACAGGGACAGACTCTTGGAGACACAACATTGGCATTTCTGCCTGGTACCCCCATCCCTGTGCATGCCGTGCACTCTGCTGTGGCCAAAGCAGTGCTGGGGAAGCAAAGGGACATCCTGGCAATGCCACAGCTGCCTCCTGAGCTGTAAAATCCAGGCTGTGAGCTCACCTGTGAGTCAGCCTGCAAGGCCCTCAGTAATTCCAGCCACCACAGGACGTAATTCCAGCCAGCCACGCTCTGGTAGCCCCTGGCTCCCTGCACACCTCCCCTGGCTGCTGCCCAGGAAAATCCTCCTGCCTGGAGTCACTCTGGCACCTGAGATGGGGGAAACTCTGATGCTGGGTGGTGCCTGCAGTGGGATGCCCAGGCAGGAGCTCCCCCAGCTGCTTTGTTCTGCATTTCCCACCCGGTGCTGTGCCAGCTGCGTGGCTCTGAGGGGCCTTCAGCTCATGGTCCTTGTGTGTCTGTCCATCCCTTGTTGTTCTTTCCCTGGGAGCAGCTCACCACAGGCTCTTCAATCCCCTCCTGGGTCTCAGGGTGGTCTCTGGAGTCCTTAAAAGAACAGAACTCAGTTTTCAATGCAAGGGCAGCTCATCCCTTCCAAAGCAGGAGCAAAGTCAAATGGAAATGCAATGTTCAGGGGCTTGGAGCTGGGCTAGAGATCCCAGGGTCCAGCAGCTCTCCCCCACGAGAAAAGGGAGATTGTCACAGCTGGACGCAGCATCATCCCCAGTTCCACTGAGGTGGGAGCATCAGCAAAGCACAATGCACATCCCAGCTGTGCTGTGTCCCCTCCTGTGCTGCTGGAGGGGCTCAGGGTGGCTGAGGAGCTGCTCTGGCCATGGCTGCTCCTCACACCCTTCCCTGGGGCCCTGTGAGGAGCTCCAGGCTGATTCCATCCCTGCAGTGAGGACAGAAAGTGCCAAAGGCCTTTGTGCCTGGGCTAGGGGGTGCTGCTGCAGCTCCTGGAGCCATTCAGGCCCAGGGACAGGGGGCTCATCATCCCCACAGGCTGCAGCACCCACCCTGCACCCCTGGGGTGCCCAAAGCCCTCTGGAGCCTGCCCTGGGGCATGGTGGCACTGCCAGGATGGGCACTGTGGCAGTTGGGCTGGGGAAGCAGCAATTTCCTGTTGGTAAAAAACCGAGCTCTCATCAAAACTTGGGAGCTGGGAAAGCGCTAACGAGCCTGGCCTGCATTTCCTGCTGCTTGTCCAGGGCAGTCCAGGCTGCCATGGTGCTCTCAGCCCTCCCTGCAGTGGCAGCAGCTGAGAATTCTCCCCAGCAGCTGGGAAAAGGGTGAGGGGTGTGACAGTGTTCACAGGGGTCTGAGGATGAGGGAAGAGACGAGGATCTGACTCCATGTTTCAGAAGGCTTGATTTATTATTTTATGATATAAATTATATTAAAACTGTACTAAAAGAATAGAAGAAAGGATTTCATCAGAAGGCTGGCTAAGAATAGAAAAAGAAGGAATGATAACAGAGTCTGAGCCAGCTGGGCTGTGATTGGCCATTAATTAGAAACAACCACACGAGACCAATCCCAGATGCACCTGTTGCATTCCACAGCAGCAGATAATCAATGTTTACATTTTGTTCCTGAGGCCTCCCAGCTTCTCAGGAGGAAAAATCCTAAGGAAAGGATTTTTCATTAAAGGTCTGTGACACAGGGGAGATTCTGCCCCTCTCCTCCACTTTGGTGAGACCCTCCCAGCACAGGAAAGGTCCTTGAAGAGTTCAGGAGGTCACAGAGATGCTCCAAGGGCTGAGCCAGGCTGGGGGAGCTGGGGATATTCAGACTTTGCTCCCGCTTTGGAAGGGATGAGCTGCCCTTGCACTGAGAACTGAGTTCTCCTGTTCTTTTAAGGACTCCAGAGACCACCATGGTCAGAACCCAGGAAACTCCTCTGGCTGCCCTGGAGGGCTCCAGCCCCTGCCAGGGGGCTCAGAGACCTTGCCA